GACCATATTATTTTCTGCATTACACAAAGGGTTTTAAAAAAAACTCAGAAAAGCCAGACAGCAGTCTACTTCTGGTTAGGCTCACCCAGCTGAGTGTAGGGCAGTGGAGTTGGTTTCATGACTTTTGAAAGTTTTGGTTATTTTATACCAGTTTTTTTCTTTAACCTGTACTCTGTGAACAAGTGATCCTGTAATGTGATAATTCTTGTGTTTTTCTTGTATAGTGGGTTCTCTTGCTATCAAAATATCCACAAGTCAGTCATAGTATAAAAGAGCAACTGAAGGTATATACTGTTCCACGGTGGAGCCAGGAGTGGAGGATGGGCTAAGGCATGGGCACATGCTGTGCTTGGGGGTAAATGTCACCATCTTAATTGGTAGTTCACATCTCTGTCAGATGGATATATACCTAGCTATCTTAACTGGTTTAGTTCATAGCACCCGCCTACAGTGGTGCCTACAGGCTGGTAAGAACTAGCATTGCACGTTCCTGTTCTCAAGACTTGTGGATTTTACTCAATGTGTATTTGTTTAATCAAACAAATACCAAGGTGATTTGGGATTGGCTTGTGCACTTAATCCTTTCAAAATGGGCCATGTTTTTTGACAGTGTTGGCACTGACCACTGAAAGCATGGACTGGTGACTAGTCTGAGGCAGGAACACACTTATGGGATATGAGATCTAGCTGGCAGAGAAGGAGGTCCACAACGTAGGGTAAGTGTGGGGTCCTGGAGTCATCAGCAAGCAGTGCAGTAGCTGCTGCTTTCAAGATCTTCCTTGAAGAAAGACACAAGTGATGCTTCTTAGGCTGTTAGGCAAGAGAAAGGTAGCCTGCAATTAAAGCCCAGAATAGAAATTTCACTTGGTTTTATATGAATTAATCAAATTATAAGGCTAAAAATGGTGTCTGATTTTATCTTCTATCGTGCCTATACCTTCCTGGGCAATCTAAGTTCTGTTCAGAGTCTAAATTCATGTACCTTATTATGTGTCCTCTAAAGTTAAATCTAGTGTAAATGGATTATATGAGACACCGGAGAGATGCCTAGTTCATCTCTCCTTTCTTAGTGCCATAGAAATTATATGATAAAATATAATATTAAAAGACTAAATGCTTGTGGCTCTTTTATATATATGTATATATATATATATATTTTAAACACACAGTAAGAACATAAGAACATCTCAAATCATTTAAAAGGTTAAAGGGGTTATTAACCAAAATATTTGGAAATTTCATAAAATTTAAATATCTGCAAACAATCCAATCAAAAGGAAATGGGGGTAGGGGTAAGAAACAAACTCCCAACATTTGGCTATGGAGGCAACTTTACATGTTAACCAAATGGTATCACAACATCTTCTTTCCGATAAGTAGTCACTACACCCCATGAGAAAGAATACAAGAGCAATCTCGGAGACATCCCTCAATCCCACGCACCCAGTTAGAACATTCCATAAGACCTCCTGTGCCACAGGCTTTCCTTCATTGCATAAGCCACATTCCATCTCTATAGCACAATGCTAAGCAGCCCGCAGGTTCTATAAAGTAGGCTGATGTCCGTTCTACAAAAATATTAACTTACAGTACATAACACTGCATAATTTTAATCTGTACAGGTTTTCCCTCCCACAGGTGACACACATCAGTTTTTACAAGCTAGAAGAAAAAAAATAATACTTCTCTGGTTGTTTACATCTGGGATAATAGTCAACAGTGTCAACCAGAATTTGGAGTGGTGTGTATAGTCTATGACAGCATCAGTACAATATAATAGCATATAACTGCAAATAACAATAGGCAGCTTTTAACAAGTGATACAAAATAAAATTGTCCTGGAGTTTCATTTATAGTTATTTCGATTGAAAAAGTCTAGCTGAGAATGTTCTGTTAAATAGCCAACCAACCGATTCAGGAGGTTTGGGCGGCTGCGACTCACCCAGCAACCTGCCGCACGACGCCAAACACTGGCGCAGTTCAGGGCTCTTCGAGTGCATAGCTTCAGTGTTACACACGCATTAATCACAATCTTTCAATTAGTTAATCCTCTAGACAGCTTTCTTTGTGTTTTGCATGCATCCTGTTCCATTTTCATTAAGGGTTCCTCTTCTTGAGGAAACATGGGCTTTGCCTTTCAGTTTGTTTTTGTGATTTTCTTTTAATGTTTTGTTCAACTGTCAGTACTTCTAACACTCAGAACACAGGAAGTATGGAAGTGGTCTTAAAGAAGAGGGCTGTGTGCACGAGAAGTGAAATGAAAAGAGTGTCAGAGACAGTTTATAAAAATGGCACATTTATTGCTACAGAACGGTCATGTACATGACTTCATCGAGTAACTACAGATGGGAACAGGTCATGGCCTAGACCAAGCTGGGTTGTTTGCCTCTTGAAGGAGTCCAGCACACAACCTGTTTGGACACTTCTACAAATCAGAAATACACCAAAAACATGAAAAATAGAGGCACTCAGCCACACGTTGAAAACAAGGTGTAACTGTTTATCTTTTTTTTTAAAACGTTTTCCCTTTTTTTCTTTTTTTTTTAACAATTTTTTAAAAGTTTTTAATGCTGCAGCTATGTGTACAGTCGCAAAAACAAAACATAACAAAAAACAAAAAAAAGTCCATACTGCGACCTACAACTAAAAACAAACAAACACAAAAAACCGAAAACAAAAATAAACGGAAGAAGCTATACCATACAGTTTCATCTCAGTAACACATGGTAAAATAACATCTTTTAAATAGTAAAATAAAGTAACAAACTTTTACTCATAATGATTCCAAAAATCTACAAAGAAGAAATATTCAGAATCTGACAATTTTTTTTGTAATATCCATGGTATAAAAGGATTGCTCCTGCGAAAAATAAGCCAAATATATTTTTTTATTTTTAAATTTAGTTTTTTTTCCTACTAGGGTGTACTACAGTCTATTTTTATAGCAAAAAGAGCACTAGACAGACGAAGCTTTATAACAAAAAGCCAGGCACTGATACATGGTAAATCTCTGCTTTTTTTTTCTCTTATCTTCACTTAATTGCATCACAAGTAACAAGAATGAAAAAGGCCACAGTTCATATATTTCACCATTACATATGTCTATAATACTTGATATGAGCATATGGCAAAACCAGTACTGCACAGAGATGAGTCACTTCAAGTCCCATGAGAAAAAACATCTCTAAAGAAAACAAACATGACCAAAGCAAAATCAAGAGGAGGCCCACAGGCCTTGGTGCCCCATTGTCTTGGAATCCAGAACATTCCGTCTTCACCTCCGTATGTGTTTGTTTGTTTGTTTGCTTATTTTTTTCTTCCAGTCAGCCGGCAGACTACATGTTGTGCTTGTTTATGCTGAATGGTTTCCTTCCTGACTTAAGTTCCGTTTTGGACACAGACCATATTCTGCCTGTTGGATACAAAGATGAAAAAAAAAAACCAAAAAAACCAGAACAAAAAATCCTCTCAACCCCTAGTCTCAGTTCAACTCCCTCCCACTTCCCAACCCCTCATTAAAACAAAGATCACGAATAATAATAATAATAATTAATAATAATAACAATGAAGTCAAGAGATAGGAAGCAAAAGTAGAAAAAACAAAACCAAACCAGGAATCGGAAGACTGAATCAGAATCAGTTGTACCACTGGGTGAGCTTGTGAAAGCATTAGTGTTCCTCACTGCCAAACAGAAGACACATGGGTAACAACTCCGAGATGGACAGATCCATAATTCTGCATATTCATAAATTACTTGAATGTGGAGGTGGATCAACTGTTCCAAGTTGCTTTCAAAGTCTGAGTCTCTTAAACCGATCCTGAACCTACGAATTACCGTCATCATTCATGTCTAGTATAGTATAAACACTTAGGAAATGTCTGTATAGTATTTTAATCCTGTCTTCTGCTAAGTTTCTTTCAAAAATCCAGTGCAGGAATACCAATATCTTACCTGGGTTTGATAATTACAAAATAACAACAAGAAAAAAAAATACATTAAAATGGCCACATTCCCTTTCTCCTTCCTTTTAAAACTGGAGATACAACCAGATTACTACGGAGAGGGTCAGATCATGTTTCTGCACCAAGCAGAAAGTAGCCGGCAGCTGCTGCTGGCCTTTGGGGAGTCTTTTGCTTATTTCAAAAGGAATTTGACAATAGCTGTATTACATTACCAAGTAATGAATACATCAAAGCTGGTGAACAAGAAATTGCAGATTTTTCTCTGTCTGAGTGAGAACAAAATATAAAAGCACCAATTTAAAAAAAATAATCAAATGACTGTAATTTAATTTTTTTGCTTTGTTTACAGATTTGCAAAACTTTAATTCTGCTTTAGTAAGCACCTTTATGATAACATGTATCAAAAGTGCCATTCTGAAGCTGTACATCAATCAATGCAGGGAGTATTTCCAGTTCCCTAAAGAGTAAACACCATATTCTCTTCTATACACTTCTCCTGAATGTGATCAGAGTATACCTGCTTCCTATATAACAATATTGTTCCTAGGGATACCCGCCTTGGTAGACTATACAAAATGAGTGCAGAATGTATCACGAAAGAAAATCTTTAACATGGTGAGAGACCACGTACGCATGGTTTCCATCGTTCAGGGAGGAGGGGAAGTTACTGTCTTCCTTGCCTTTCTTGTGGTACTTTTGTTCGACCAATTCACAGGGAAGCCCCTGAAGAACTTTGCATGAAATTTGATTCCTGCTATTCCCCTACATTTTCAATCCACCTCCACATTTTAGGACCTTCTCAACAAATCAAAGCATTTTAGTTTTATCACTACTGAACATATTTACAATTTTCAACACACACATACACACACACACACACACACACACACACACACATACATGCACCTGCACCCACACCCACACACCCACACACAAACACACAGCTAATCAAAATGTTTATGGGTTTGTAAAAGGTGACCACGTGGTAACTATCTTATTTGTTCTTACATTTTCAGAAATGAACATAAATTTCAGATTCTTGTAGTTCACTATTTCATTTAAATGACTTTTAAAAACCACACAATTTAAAAAAACAACAAAAAAACCTGATACAATGTATTAAAACACATAATAACAAGAGTCTACATGTAAAAATATAACTTTTACATACACAGTTTCAAAATAATGATAGGTTTGCCATTGGTTGCATAAAATTTACAGATGTGTTTCATCACTATGTAACTGGTAGTTCAGGACAACAAACGGGGGCGTTCAGACCATTTCCATGGAGTTATGGCATTTACTCAGTGCTGATAGGTGGAAAAACTACTTCAACAGGGATTTTTTTCTTAATACATGCCAAGATTGTGTGGCTGTCAAAACAGAACTGAGTTAGAGACAAAAGGATGCTGACAAATACTTAAGCAGGAGTCCTATGTGTTCACTGCACTACACACCAAAGTCAATTGTTGGAAAGATTTAGGATGGGAATTGGTTCAATTGTGCCCAGAGTCAACGCTAGCTATCTGATGAGTTGCTGTGCCATAGTTTGATCTATGTTTCTATCAAATGTTAAGTATAAACTTCACTCATACTGGCCAGAGAGAATACTGTGCTACCCCTCCTCACGAAAGTGCAACTTAATGCTTTAGGGCTTATAAGGCTTGTTATAATGCTGCGTGATTGGTTGGCGTTGTTGTTGTTGTTGTTTTTGTTTGTTTTGTTTTTTGTTTTTTGTTTTCCAGACGAAGGAGGAGGCAGGTAAGTCATCTACTTTTTTAGTAAACCCATTTTGAAAAAAAAATCAAGAAAGCAACAAAATCAATCAGCTCTGTCACACTCCTTGCAATTTTCTCATTTGACGGTTTTTGAACTTGACTTTTTTTTTTAATTTTTTTTTTGTATTTTTTCGAAAAAAATCTGACCATGTATTCAGAAACGTCTCACTGCACACTACTTCGGCTACACAGGTAGGTAACACTTGAATCGTTTTTGTTAAATCACAGCCACTTTGATTATGTTTCCGATGATATAAACATTGGAAGGCACAGTGGTAACATTGTAGCATTCTAACCGTGTACCTCTGAAAATCCCAGGAGAGGGTAACAAGGGCAGCGCCACAGCCAGACAAACGCTTTTTGCCTTGCCTGGGCAATGCTGCGTGTAATTTCTACACATGATGTGACTTTTAAGTCCTGTGTTCCCATAAGACTGCAGAAACAACTTTCTACTATTTATGAATGAGAAGCAACATCAGGTCAGCATTTCGTCCTGCACTGCCCCTCCGGAAGCAGAGTTGGCACTACAGGTTACGATAACAAACCAGGGGAGGGGACAAAAATCAGACAAAAAAAAATCCATATTTACAGTAAAATCTTTCTTTTAAAAAAGTTAATCAGTACTATTTTTTTACAGGAGAAAAAAGTCTGAAACAAATGAACAAAAGCTTACCATAGTCACTAAATTTTTAATATATATTTATATATATATTTATATATATATTTGTCATAGGTCTATAACATCCATCTGTCCCTCCTACCCTAAGGAATGGCTAATGTCATCATTTCGTTGCCATCAGGACGTTTGCTGGTTTTGTTATGAGGGCAGCCGGGCTTCCCCTATTCAATATCCGGTAATTAGAAACACTAGCTGACTTGGGTACCAACAAAAACGTTCATGTCGTTTTCTTCAGAAGTACACTTTTTTCATTATTGCAAGTTTACAATTTTTTTAAATTAAATATTTTTTTCAGACTTACAAATTAATTATATTTTTTTTTTCCAAAAGAAGTTTAGGCACAAATGCATTGCTCCACAGTGCGGGAGGATTGCCATTCAGTCTCTGGGCTGTACATACCGCTTCGCACATTCAGAGTGATATGTTAAAGAAGTTGTCCCTCAAGTTGCATTTTTGTCTTTCTTTCTTTTTCTTTCATTCATTTTTTGTTTATTTTTCTGTTTTATGATAATCGGGAATGCTGAAACCTCTTGCGTCTGCGATTCATAACTACTCAGACTTGTCTTATATTACAAAAAAAAAAAAAACGGGGTTAAGGAGCAGTGTTTATGTGGGTTTAGGATAATACAGCTGTTAAGGAAGTGGTCTCTTGTTTTAATGAAGCAAGGTGGCAACTTGGACCTGAGAAAAGAAATGGAGAAAAAAACAATTAATATAGTGATAGAAAAATTTTTATTATTTTTTAAAGCCCTCTGTTTTTTGTTTGTTTGTTTTGTTTTTAAGAAACAAATAATTGGCTAATCTGGGGGAAACCTGCTGTTTGTGGCTCACATGCCCCTGAGAACTATAAGATAGCAGCAATGGTGGAAAGCTCACCCAGTGCGTACCCGTTCACATCTGTCCCATGTGGTTTGCTGCGTCTCCCATCCCGGGGTGCGGGCCAGCCAAGGAGAGTGGGGGAGGCTCCGAGGACACCTTCTCTTCCTCCCTTCTTTTCAGACAAGCAGCTTTTGGGTTCAGATTCCTTTCTGTGGGATGTGAAAGCACAAGGCGTCCAGTCAGCACAGGGCTCCACAGAGGGTAGAGCAGTGCTCCTCTGCTAAGGCCAGACATTCAGACTCTATTTCCCACGATGGGATGAGGGAAGAAGTTAGGGAAGGTGCTCTACTGGGTGGCCCATCTCAATGGCCATTAACTCCATGCAGAATTTGTACCACCCCTTTACAGTGTAAAACAGGCAGAACAGCTTGGGCCTGACATCCCTGCACTGGAGAGTCGGAGTCAGGAACATTGCAGATGGAAAGTCAGTCTGTGCTACAGAGTTCTGGGCAAGACTGAGTTACAGAACATGAGTCTTCATCAAAACAGGAACAACAGTTTTAAACAATGGGCCAGGAAGCTAGCTGGCTCCCTAGGAGTGATTACTGTGTACGTATTGAGGACCTGAGTTCAGTTACCAAGCACCCACAGAAAACAGTCAGGCGTGGTGGCAAGTTTGTAATCCAGCACTGGCAAGACAGAGACAGGCAGATCCTTAGCACTCACTGGCTAGGTAACCCTAGTCTAAAGGAAAAGCCTCAAGTCCCAGTGAGAAGCCATGTCTCAAGAAAGGAGATAGATAACTCCAAAGGAATGATGTCCCAGGCTAACTAACCTATGGTCTACACACACACACACACACACACACACTTGTACCCACACATATCTACCCCTTAAAAAAGAAAGGAATGGAAATAGGTTGTCAAATCATTGAGAGCACAGATGGAAAAGCTATAGTGTAACATCAGATAAAAGAACATTCTATAACTTAAGTATAGGACTCGGATTTGATACAGTCCCACATCCAAGCAATTCTTGGGAGGGTGCTTAAGCATCTATTTGCTGACCTCGCACTTGCTGCTCCAGACTGAGGATGACAGCTACCGCCTGGTGGAGAATCAGGAGCTTGGTCTGGGGCTTGTCACTCTTCAGGTGGAGCTGTACCATGCGGCCAAGCTCCTTGAAAGCCTCGTTGATATCTCGGACCCTCAGGCGCTCACGGGCATTATTGGCCATCCTCCGTTCCTTCTCACGCTCAGCCTTCTGCTCTGGGGTCAGGTCCTCGTCGTCGTTATTGCTGCAATGCAAGAGGGATGAGACCTTTACTAACGGTGTTGTGGAATGACTGTATCTCTATTACATTTTCTTTGACACTTGTCATATTCATCCTTAGCAGGATTTTATCCATTTGACCTTCATCTGACCTTGGGGTTGGTTTAGAAAATGCACACACAAAACTTTTGGTTGCTCCCCAAAATTCTACCCAATTCTAACAGAAGATGATGAACTGGGCTCCAGCAGGGCCAGGGTCCGTCTGACCTGTTGCAGGGGACACAGAGGGAGAATGAAGACCTCACGCACCATTGCTCAGTCTTAATGCAGACAGCAACCTGGGCTTAGGCTTTACTTATAAAAACACTAAAAGATTGCTTAAACAATCTTTAAATTTTTTTCATGCTGCAATATTTGAAACCTATGCAAAAATAAGTGACTGACAATCAAATTTTGGTAGATCACAGTAAACACAAGCCAGGTTAACAGGAGCATGAAATAGAAATATCAGGGAGCAGACAGTCAGTCCACCTCTGAAGACTGTCCAGTCCACCAACCTTGTCTGAGTCTTGAGAAGATTTCCTTTACACAGTAAATAAAAAGTTGGAGAACAAACAAACATGATTTCTGTGGTCTTTCATATTATGGCTTGGGGCCTCCAAAAGAAGCTGAGGAAACCTGAGTTGTCAACAGCCATGGAATATCGTATAAACCCAAATACCTCCTCCTTCTAACAGACCATGATCTCTGTGAGTCACAGAGGAAGTAAAGCAGGATTGATTCACTGTTAGAACTAAAATATTTCATGATTCACCACAAAAGCATGGGCTCAGTATGTGTAAGGTTGGGGTCTGACCATCTCTGATGGTCATAGTGACCGTCAGAGACAGTGGAAGGTGAATGGAGGGGCAGACAAGCCATCTGGAAAACATACCGTAGATTCATGGAGCCAGGGGTTCAAACATTTTCAGGGCTATTATAAAGAAAAGGGAGTTTGCAAGAGGTTTTTTGTTTTGTTTTTAAAAATGTCTCACAAAAGACACATCAAAACCAAAAACTCCAGATGAGATACCATGAGTGAAAACCTTTTCTGAATTCTGACCTTGAGAAATATTAGGGGAATCAAAAGAAAATACCACACATGCACACATATGTGCACGTGCACACACATAGAGACCAAAATAGTGAGAGAGAAATAGACAATAGGAAGGTAAGTATTTTCAGGCCATGCCATTGGGTACAGAACTTGAAAAGAAGCTGAAAATCCCCCAGGCCCTAATTGTTCAAAGAGTCACGATGAAGAATCCTCATACTTAGAACTGAGGATGTAGAAGATTAGCTCTTCATTGTGTATGCAATGAATGCTGACTTCAAAGGTATAGCCTTCTCATGCCACCTGTCCCTGAGCCCCCAAAGCTTTACTTGCAATGTCCTAGCCCATGCCTGTGTTATGAAGTGCTTTCTCTGTTTCTTTCTACTCTTGGGTTTTTACAACAGGGTCATCCACCTATTTAGAACTGTTTTTGTTTGTTTGTTTGGGTTTTTTTTTTTGGTTGTTGTTGGGATAGGGTGAGAGTCAAGGACCTGATTTCACTCTTCTGTATATGGTTTTCCAGTTTTCTCAACCCAGGGAAGAAGAAGCAGGCATACTGATGGATACTGAAAAGAATGGAGGGAGGGAGAGGAGAGTGTGCAAATGTTCAAAGTCTATTGTGGGCTTGAAGGGAAATGCCATTCTGAAACCTGTCACTAAGTACAATGAACATATGCTAATAAGAAGTAGAAGAAGGGAAAGTTCTCAGGTGGCATCCCAATTGAAAACAGGGCCATCTACCCTGGAGAAGCACCAACCTGGAGAAAACAACAGTGGCATTCTGGAACTCGTGAAGCACCAGATGTGTAGATGCTGGGACAGAAGAGGCACACTGGGGGCTGGGGTGCAAGACTGGATGGAATGACATCTGTGACAGCCCTGATTATGCTGTAGTGGTGGACAGCACACCCCTATCTGAATCCTAGGGCAAGCCCCCTGTCTCTGCTTCCTCATTTCCCCTCTGGCTCCTCCTTTTCCATCTTCCAGAATTTCTGCTGGTGGTAAGGGAATGCAGGCTGCAATTAAATTGTTCCTGTATACCCTTAAGCTAAAAGGACTAGGTGAGTCTTTGTTAGGCCTATCCCAGAGCAAAAGACTGGCAATATTTTCAGATACTGACCACATGTCATGCCTTACATAGTGGGGAGCCAGAAAATGAGAACCTGTCTGCTAAAAGTTTTCAGGCTAATGCCTAACTAGAAATTAGTTAGTCACATAAATGCATTGATCCTGGACATAAACTAGATTTGAAGAGACCCACTTCTCTGCAGACTCTAAGAGGCATACACTACGAATGGTATGAGGGTGGCTGTTAACGAGAAGGCACTTAGTGGCAAAATGAAATGGTGTTCTGAAACTTCCAAGAACCCACTAACATGTCTATGTGATGGCCACTAAATTACCAAGAAGTGACTTGGTTAACAGAGAAGCTGTTCAGGATATGAAATCCCCACTAAGAATTTCTCGCCCCTGTGGCCACAAAACACCAAGGATGGGAGAGAGGGGTAAGATAGAAGCACAGGCAAGGAGTAGCAGGATGTACTACAGGATGTAATTTGTCATAGCTATAAAGACATGAAAAGGCAGCGTGAACTTGATTCATGAAAGATGCCAGCTGTAGCTCCCCACCCCCCAATCACAACCTTTGAAAGAAGCTATATAGTCTTGACACCAGGGTAAGCTGAAAAGAAAATTAACCCAGAGGAAGGAGGGATGTGTATGGGTGCCACGGGACTCCAAATCATCCGATGACCAGACTCAGATTTAAAGAGACACACTGAATGGGAAGGTATCAGATATTTAAGAACAGCAATTTGAAGCTATTTCCCTGTGGTTGGGTATGCAGTAGCAGAAACGGGTGGAAAAACATTCAAATTTATTTTACATGGAGCAACCTGTTTAGGACAAAAACTTGGAAATCAGAATTTTCTTACTTTAGAGATAAGAAAGAAAAAAAAAGAAGAAAACCTTACAGTTGTATATACAAGCAATTGACTCTTTAGTGTAGCTAAAATCTGCCCTTTTGGAAACATTTTAGGGGAAAAAACCACTTTTGAGCAAATTTGAAGAATACAGTTTTAACACGAAACTGTTTTCTTGAATCAGGTACAGATAAGGTACACTTGAATTAGGTACAAGTAATTTTATGGTGCGCAATTAGCATCGGGTCCAAATTAGTAAATTCACAGGCCTTTAGACCTCACTAGAACACAGGTATCTTAAATGATACCTGAAATGCTTCTAGGACAGGCCTTTCATTTTCCTCTCATCTGAGGCTTTACCTGCCAGGAAAAAACTGAACAGTTTCTTCCTGTTCTGTTCACTTCATCAAAGTCCAATAAAGGAATTAAATGAAGCGACAGTATTATATACTGTTACCTAGATCTTGACCTAGTAATTGATTTGATATCCTTCTTGTCGTCGTCTAATTTCTTGTCCTCAGAAGATTTGGTGTCTTGGAGGTTCTCATCACCCTCATCGTCGGATTTGATCTCAGAGCTGCCAGAAGACACACTCTGGCCCTGGAGGCCTGGTGGCATCCCTATAGAAAAAAGACATCAGAAAAGAAACAGAGAGATCAGGTGATGTCCCAGAATGCCATGCATAAGTACACACCCCCCGGAAACAAAAAAGCTTCCACCCAGAGGACCCTCCCTTTCTGCTGAACTGGGATCCCTCCTCGTTTCTCCTGCTGTCTGGTGAAGTTTCAGAAATGCACCTGTGGAAAGAAGTTTCCTTTGCATCGGCTCTGAGGTTAAATTCTATTTTGCAATCTTTTGGAGTAGATGGTAATTTCACTGTCTACAAAACATCAACTTAATTGCAATGAAAATCATAATCATGAAAATCATATACCTCAATGTTCTGATTAAGAACCTGAGTAAATATCAGCTATTATATTGAGTTTCTTCCATATGCAATGATTTAATAGAAAAATGTCCTTAAAATATAATTCCCAGGGAGTACGCTAAATATGTTCAGTCAAGGCTTCAATAGATACCCTAATGATATTCTGAAATTAAGCTTCTCTTATGTTTGAGGAGTAATCAGCGTTTAAAACTGGGACCTATGGAAGGGGGTGCACTGCTCACAGGAGGAAACTGGAGTTTTATCTTTGCTCCATGGCTCACGTTCATGCAATATTTGGCAGGTTAGTTGCTTGTGTGTATATGTCTCTGTGAGTGTATGCTTGCATGTATGTGCCTGTGAGCATACATGTTCTCCAGAGGAGCCAAGAAGAGAGGATCTGGTGTCCTTCCTTCTCTATCATTTTCTGCCTATCCTTTGAGGTGAGATCTCTCCCTAAAACCTAGAACTCATGTCTTTCTGGATATCTAGAAGTCAGCAAGCTCCAGTGATCCTCCTGTGGCCTCTCGCGTGGGAGTTAGGGTTGCAGGTGTGTACAGGATGCTCAGCTAGTTATGTGGGTGCCAACATTTTATCTCTGGCTCTCATGGTTGCCTATCAAGTGCTCTTCACCACTCTCTGGCTTTCGTATTACATTTAAAACATGACCTTAATAGCATCTATTTCTTGGGTTGATGCATGTCTATCACAGAGATCTTCAACTTATAATCTAAAAACTTGTGACTTGGAATTTGTTTCATGGGGCAGGAGCATTTGTATCATCTGGGAGCCATGAGCAATCCCCAGTCCACTGCTACACTATCAGAATCTATATTTTAATTCAACTCTTGGGCTACAGTTTGAGAACCACATAACAAAGAGTAAGAGAAAAGCTATGGGCTCACTATTGCTCAGGTAAAGAGTGAAGGACACAACTGTGTCCTATGAAAAGTATTCAATATTCATATCAGTTAACAGCTGAAAGGCTAGTTACAGGAATTCCCAAGGTAGCGTTGTTATTTTGTTTATTTTAAACATGGAAGGAATGAGGAGACACCATAAGTGGCCATTGTTCATCTGGCCCATGAGTAGCACAGGAAGCTGGACCCATGTTGAGTCTTTGTAGCACAATTTCTTGGGGATGTGAAAAAACCTTGCAATTGGGGCAAGGTGGGGGTGCACACAGCCACATGACACATTGTTAGGGGGTTTGATCACTCCAGAGCAAACAGCAACTAACTCAGTTCCTTTTTTTCTTTTTTAATGTACCTACATTTCCTTCCATCTTAAACAACAAAAACAATTTCCTTCCTCCCCATTTGGAAACCTCATTTTCAGGCCACAACTAACCATATTAGGGGATCTGAATGAGTAAGATGTGGAAATAGCTAAAATAACATTTCCTCTCAGCAGTCTGTCGTCTCATTCCCTTCTCAGATGAGACTGGGATGTCAGAGGACGTCTGAGGGCAACAGTTACTGAAGAAACACAATTAGCCGGCCAAATTCTAGCTCCTTTCCCATTAGTTAGTTACCACTTTGGTACCAAATTTGGTTCTTGGTTTTCTGCCAGGGTCTTCAGCATTCTGCCAAGGATGCTTGAAATCAATTCGAAGTCTACTGTTCACCCAAGGTCAGAAAGCCTTCCGACGTGCCTTACCTCTGTAAGGATCCTGGGGTGGGTTCAAGTCAGGGGAGGTTGCAGACTGGACCGGAAGCTGTGGAACTGGAACCTGGTTTGGCAGGAGAGTATGGCTGCCTCTCAGAGCCACGCCATCTTCACGGTGGGCCCCAACCTGAAACAACAAAAGGAATTAGAGGGCTGAGTGTGCACTGGAGGGACAACAGCTATTTTCCAGGGGTATCTGGGTCTTGATGCTGGAAGGGTAGCCTGTGGGGGGAAAAAAAATAAAAAGATCCTCCCAGTGCATTTCACTAGAGGGCGCTGAAGGACTGTGCATACACCTACAGTTCTGTGCAAAAGAGAAAAAGAAAAAACAAAAGAAAAAAAAAAACAAAAAAAATCCAACACTTAACACTCAGTAAGATGCCATGCCTTACATCCAGTGACAAATATGGCAGAGCAGCTCAGGCAGGTAAAACGTCAAATTGTCTCCCAGGGTGCTGCAGCGGAGCGCACTGATTCGTACCCATCTGTCTTCTATCATGTCCGCCAACAGATCCGACAATTATCTTAATGCCCATATGCTTAATTGTGGGCTTCTCAATTCCCCCATTGCTATCGGAAATCCTACAGGAATTTCAATTTGGCATTCGACTTTCATTTCAGGGGATAAGATTCTCAGGCCTGCCATTCTTTTTTTTTTTTCCCTCTCTCTCCCTTTTTCCATAATGCCAGCTAAGTCTGACAGCGGAAGCTGTAGCAGTATGGGACATAGCCCCTGCTTGGTGCAAATATAATAAAATGTCACCTGGCTTTCCAAAACTGGCAGCCCATTCCAAATTACTGTTCACTGTATTTCATCAGCTGCTGAGTTCCAAATCCAAAGGGGAACCACTTCTGCCAATGCCACCACACCGGAAAATGTACCAATAAAGGTTTTATTAAACACACCAGTAATGCCATCATTGCTGTGTGAGGATGTTTGGACATTTTTCCAGCTTCCTCCCATCCCAACGACTTGGATCTTAAGACACCACAGTGCAAATACTCTTTATGCTTCCACGAATTAACTTAGTGAGTTCAGTGCGATTCCTGGATTTGAAAGACAACCATGGAGTTTTATGAAGTAGTACTGCCTATGCTGGGGTTCGGCGCTGGTGAAGCCTTGGCATTGGGAGTGTGGCTGCTGACTCTTTAGCACAGGCCCTGGAGTTCAACCATTAGGCATGTGAAAACCGAAGGAATAGGAAGCACTCACATTTGCCTCTGTGTTTCCAGGTAACGATTTGGTAAGGCCACTACCCAGTGACTATTTACACCAGACAGTGAGTCTAACTCTAAAAAACATTTATCTGCTGAGAATCAACATTTATTTTTCTAGTGAAAACTAGAAACACACAAAGCAAACATCTTCAATTTTTTTTTTTTGCCATCATGTTTTAAAAAAATTATTTCGGAAGATGTGAAGCAAAACTCCCACATTGCCACTCCCGGCAAGCAAGGATTTTGTATCACCTTTATGCATACACAGACCCAGCCAAATGAGCCCTAAACTTCAGGCACGTACACACACACACACACACACACTCCACAAGCAATAGAGAAGAAACTAATAATCCAGGGCAGTGATGTAGGCTCACCTACGTCACTGTAATTGTTTAGATTCGAAGCCCAGCTTGGGTAGTGAAAGAACCCAAGAGCCCTGAATATTAGGCAGTGTAAATGAACTTTCATCTGAGACCCGGGGACAGTCCAGTTCTGTGAACTCGTTGCCAGTATTCAACATGAACGTTTTAAACAGTGCCTACCGAGTCTCCATGAGGCTTCTTCAGGTGGATCAAGAACCCGCTGACCTTCCAAAGCAGCCCATTCTGGGGTGACCACAGATTGGCATGGCAGAAGATCACACTCACCAGCCCCAGGGTCAGAACTAGAATGCCACAGACTACAAATCCTCTCTATGAGCAGGCAGGCTCTCCCTGAACTCAGGTCTTTCCCTGCAGGCAGGCCGTGGCCCCCTAGCCCTTCAAGCTCCTCTCGCCAACACTTTATGTAGTTTTTATTTTCCCCAGGAACAGGAATGGCAGTCACTTTCCAAGCAGGTTTCAGTTGGACATTTTTATTCTGGAAACCCCAATGCAGTCAATAACTTGAATTTCCATAGGGATGACTCTAGATTGGGATCCCTGAAAGTGACTGCAGATTTGGCCTTAGTGGAGATGACAGCCCTTCTTCAGCCATTTTAAAAAATGGGCACGGGCCCTCTCTGTGGGCAGCTGAGGGAGGATTTAAGGTTCTTCTTGTGGTTTTCATTTAAAGCAGATGCTAATTGAATATTTTCCCTCCTAGTTCCCACGATAGGGAAGAGAACTCATGACCTTGCTGCAGTCTTCATCTCAGCTGACTGTGAAAGTTGGGGTGACAGAGCGGAAGAAGGAAGGTAGAGTCCCAGCTTCTCTGCTCACTCTGTGAGACGGGGTGGCTACCTTAAGTTACTGGAGCACAAAATTGTAAGAAACAATGCTATAGCTCTCAGAGAGTAAGCCCAGGTTTATCACAAAAAATTCTAATATTATACAGAAACAGTAGTGCACAATAGAATAGCTGTGCATAGGAGTGAGTACGTTAACTGCAAATACTTGCATATTATATAAAACTGACTTCTGACGAAGCTCAAGGACCCTGGAGACTCTGGCTAACCTTACTGGCCATTACTTTGATCACAGTCTCTCTTTTGTTTAGATCTATCTGATTATAAGTCCGTTCTCTGTACAACGAGAAGACAATATCAGAGGTGGCATTTGAGAATGAGGTCACCTCACATCCTTTTCTCTTTTGGATTTCGGGATGTTTGTTACTTTACTTTTGTCTTGTATAGGTGCTTTCAAACAGCCGTCCTTTCCCAGATGGGAAGCTGGGGTCCCTCGTGCCTTTGAGGTTTCAGTGTTCTATTTATCTTGAGTTATGTGAATGACCTTGGATGCATCCAGCTCCAGGTGGCAATGAGCTGCAGGCAATAGCTCTGGAATATATTCCAGTTTGAGGAGTTAACTTTGATAGCTTATCTTCTTGGCCACAGACAGGATACCTCAACCCCATCTACGTATCTCTTAGAAATATCATATTGGAGGCTACTGCAAACCCATTACAATTATAGCTATCCAAACAGACAGAGGACCTCCCTGCCCAGACCTCAGGAATTTACTTACTTATCACAGGTTAAGTATACGTAACCAAAATATTTTCCTTAACCAATGGATTATTAATATGGTATATTTTGCATATTTTAAAAATTCTTTATTTACCAAAGCTCTTTTTTGATGAACTTCTATCTAGATTGAATAGAATTCAAAGTAATTTGTAAGAATAATTAATTTTTCTAATAAACTCTTCTCCCTATAGTCATTGTAATGTACTTTGAGGTACTTAGACACTAAAAGTGAAATTTAAAATTAATTAATTTAATTACTATTGACCTATCAGACATTACTTACTCAGTTCACACTGTCATCGTACAAGTGTGATAAATGAACAACTCAGACAGATACCAGCCCTCAAACTTATATACTGATCAATTTATCTGGAATTCTGACAAGATGGAACAGAGGCTTACTTAAGCTAAAATAAAATAAAAATTCATCATAAGAATTCTGTAAGTTGGGTTTGGGGCCCCGAGAGCCCTGGAAATCTAAGAACATTTCTTTTCTCTTATGGACCACCTGGCCCCACTTGTGCTTCTGGAGTACCTTTGCTGTCCACTGGCTCTGATCCTCCTGTCCCTAGCCCACTCTCTTCCACAGCATCCTTGGGAACATTCTTCCTGGCTCTGTAATTGCTGTGAGCAATTCAAAGTTCTGAGAGTCAAGACTATCTGAAGGACCAGCTCCTCACTTTGAAAATAACATGGGCCAGAATATGAATAGTCTACACTATGCTCATGTGGTTCAAGGTTCATAAAATGAACAACACAGCTGCCTTAGGTCTGCTCCTTCTGCAGACCTGATCAATCTAAGTTACTTTGGATCTTAGGTCCCAGCATACACTAGTTCGGGCGCAGCCAGATTCAGTTTATCATTAGGAAAAATCAAATTCATTTAGACATATATTAACTTCTTGAATCATACACATGTCATGTAATTTAAATAATCACAGTTTCTGAATAAAATGAGACATGTTAAATTCATAGAGCTCAAGGGATTAGTGCAGTTGTTCTCAAACTATGGGTCACAATCCCTTTGGGAGTCAAATGATCTTTTTACATATGGGATAGCCTTCATATCAGATATTTACATTACAAATATAGCAGAATTCCAGTTATGAAATAGCAACAAAAAATTTTATGATTGGGGTCACCACAACATGTGAAACTGTATTAAAAGGTCACAGCATGAGAAGGTGGAGACCCACTGGATTAGAGGGACACTGAAATCCAAGCTTCATATCAGAGAAGAAATCTAGGGGTAAGATTGGCCGAGTGACTTACCTAATAACTAGTTTAGAACTAGAAAAGATCTAAACTAACTCAGAAAGCTTATTATATTAAACAATTTTACCGGACATACAAATATACACCTAGGAGAGGAAAATGAGTTAAGGGGCACATGGGGCTTGCCTTCTGGAGCTTCTTTTAGAAAACGTTGTGTGCATGTGTGTGTGTGCATAAAACATACATAGGTGTATATATCTATGTATGTGCATATATGAATACTATATGCATATAAATACATGTATATCCAAAGATCATTTTGTTTTTTGTGATAGGGAAAAATCAGATTTGACCAACTCAGTCCAAGGCCAAGCTGTCTAACTAAATTACAGAATTTAATATTTGCCACGACTCTTCCAACATAAACAGATTTAAAAGACAAGCAGTCTCAAATTAGGTGGCCGTTGGCCAGGCTGATTTTACTCAGGGACACTGAAGAGCATCTCGGTAAATACGCTTGTCCTTATCCTCGAGCTAACAACAAACACCACAAACAAAAAGATATTCAATGCTTTTGCTCTCTTTGTTTCCAGAGAGTATTGTGAAAGTAATTATTCTGTTGTATTTAAGAGGCCTATTTCATGGATGGGAAAATGTATTAAATTTCATTTGGCAGTTATTCAATTCTAGTTAATGTTATCGCCAGAGATAACTGCTTCCAAACAGGCTTTCAGACCCTGGCCCCT